AAGGCCCCCGTCATTCCTTGCTCGCACACGAGGCGGCTCGGTGGTCGAGAGCGTGTAGGCGCTGAGTTCGTATGGGGACTCCCACCGAGACATAGGTTTGAATCCTAGTTAGGCCATGGATGTTTGTGTTTGTATGTATACCTAACCCCGCACAAGTTTCGACTTATGGGGCGATGCAATTGCAAAAAAGAAAAAGAAAAAAAAAGCTGATATAATCAATAGCATGCATGAACCTTTCCATCATTAGATTCGACATTCAGTAGTTCAGTTATCATGATCATCAGCAGCTTTCATCATCCTCATCATCGTGGCCATAAACAGATGTGTCGCCAATATCGGATCGACAATCGATATCCCCATCATTCGATTTTTCGTCCTCTTCATTATTGAACTTTGGACACACCGATATTATTTTCCCATCATTTGCGTCGCTTTTTCTTAGATTTATGAAAATTTAGGAAAATTTGTGAAAATTAAAGAACATTAATGACCTTGAATTTGCGAAGGTAGAAGCATGCGTAGAAAAAAATGAGTACCTTCAATAATTTCCTGTATATCAGCAGGAACCTCATCCCCCTCAAACCACCGGAAGGAATAGCTGTTATATTCAAGTTTCCAGCCGAATTCATCTACTTTCAAAGTATTGTTGGGCACTGGAGAAAACGAATGTTTCCACATAAGTCCGATATACGCTGCTCGAAGAAGTTGTTGTTTGAGTTCACCTTTACAAGGTGGTAGTATGCAGGCATCGAAATTCATCAACTTTTGCTTGAACTCGTCTGTGGGCTCGATTCTGTTAGTATAAGTCTGCGAAAATATTTGTAGACGAACATTAGAGCATTTTTTCAGGCCATTTTTTGCTGTTGCTGCAGACAAACTCTGCTAGCATGGTGAATGCACTCTGGTAATTTTCGCAGTCTGGGGTTTGCAATGCGATACAAGCTCGTTGAAACTCTTCATTAGCAGAATACAGTTTCCACGGTTTTCTTTTTCCCTTGCGATAAAATGCATGGTTAGAATCGCCGGTCAATACATGGAAAGCCGGTAAGCCTGAGCATTTCACGCTTTCCAGTACGTTATACACTTTATTTATGTTGAATGACGATTGTTTCCGGTGCCAAACGATGTCCAAACCTTTAGTGACGCTGATAGTTTTTCCATGCTTGCAAGTACGATGGCGAGGATTTCCGTATCAGAGCATTCGATAACTATTTCTCTTTCTTCTTGAGGTTGACAGAGGAAAAAGGCTATTTTTGTGTCTGCCTCCTTGTGGCCTTCGCATTTCAAGTTGGGCATTATCTCGCAAACAAGTAACGATGTGTCATCCACTTTGTACCGTAGACATCTTCCGAAAGAAACATACACCTTATTGTCTTGTCTCATATCCTCTACTGATTGTTGTGAGGCCCAATAATCCATCATAAAAGAGATGAAGGAGTTCTTGAAATTGATATTTTTTTATTCGGCCGCGGAGTCGCTTCTGATGTGTATTTTTTATTGAAAATATTAGCTTCATTTCAAATAGAATTAATTCAAATCTAATGAGGGGGCGGCCGTATCTAAGGCTTCGCAACGACGCCACAGGACATTTCATATTTCCATTGCAAAAAAAAAATTTAAGCCTGATTGACTTCTAGCTTTGATATGATGGTTCATTGAACGAAGTACAAAGCTCCTCAACTCTTGTTTTTTCATTGTAAGTTTTGATTAGAAAGCCATACCCAATATGAAAACTGAGTTTTTACATACGGCCGCCCCTTAAACATGATTGGAGTTTTTATATATTCACCTTTGAACGCATATTTTGCAGTTGAATTATCTCTTGAGAGATATTCATCATCTTTAATAGATGGGCTGTGGAATTCATCACTACAGCTTCTGATGTCGTAGGTACTTGTTTCAATTGATGCAATAAGAACATTCCATCAATAATGACAACATCTATGTGAACTAGCTCGCCATGATCTTCAGTCTTGTTGGTTATGTTTATGAAAGTTTCCAGAATAATCAAATTTTCATATTTTCTTTATGTATACAATAAGTATCGTTACCTTCTCCATATTGATCTTTTCTCCTGAGCCCCACGCTATTCCCAGTTGACGACCAAATAGATCTCTTTGCAATTTCACTTCTTGTACTTTCCCATTTATTTTTACTTTCAACTTTTTAACTCAGCTTTCAAAATTCAAAATTTTCTTCTCATGACATATTCATTGAAATTATCTGGATTCTCCTCACATTCATTAAAAATTATACAATTTCTCATGTTTTCTCCGATTGTTTCGATGTTTGAAAGGAAGTTTGGCGCTACTTGTCCTGTTGACACATTTATAAGTACATCTCTCCTCAAATCTCCAGCACGATGTTCTTTGAACATGATAGGGATTCCCTTTCATGCGCTCCAAGCGATAAAAAAAAACTCTTTGAAGCATGGTCAAGATGAAACTGTTCACATGATTCGTACTTCTTTCAATTCGATGATTCAGCAAGTCGTTGGTGACATCTTCAACGACCTTCATACCACACTCTGCTATTACTTCAGAGATAAATGGACATCTCATGCCATGGTTTATAGCCCATCTTGTACGAGCGTTTATTAAGTTCGTGATATGGGATATACCAGTAAGTCGTCTGGCTGCATCAGAATTTATGATTTGTTCCAAGGTCATTGGAATACGCGAAAAGGGCTTGCATGCATGTTGTCGACATTCAAGAGTGAGTTTAAGTACCATACCAACCATCGAGCATAATTTTGGTGATTGACAGCAAAAAATAAATTGGTCATTTTGTCTAGGGCATAACAATATAAGTCGAAATCACCTGTTTGTATGCTTTTCTCAAATATCGAATAATACCTGCAAGTTTATAATATCAATGGAAGAATCATAGCTCCTAATCAAAAAATAAAGATACATGTAAGTAAATAGTCACCTATAAGTCGTACATATATCGCGTAAAATTTTTGGGTTTTTCCATGTTTTTCATCAAGTGTGTCTTGTTGGTGGTAGGTGGTCACTTTGGACACCTGCAGAACATATCTTTCCGAAGACTCGTTCATCCAACGAACAGCGAGGCTCTGGAACACATTGCCAAGGGAGGTGTTCTCCGAGGCATATAACCTTCGGAAATTTGAGAAGAACACCAATTCCTACCTCATTTCCCTTGGATCTCACGGTGTTCTCTGAACATTACAGGATTTCCTTTTTCGTGGGAACGAGAACTTAAAAAAAGGTGAATTATATTAAACAACTACGAAGAAAATAGTGGACGTAGCCTTCATAATGAGTTTACCATAGATTCGGGCTCTCGATCCTCATCAGTTCGATGAAAAGGAGTGCGAAAAATAAGAAACCCTTGGTAGAAGTCAAAAAAAAAACAAAATAAAGGAGTCAACAAACAGAAGCCAGCCGCACAATTGTGGTTCTGATCAGAAAACCCCGAGTATTCAGGGAAACAACCAACGTCACCTGCGTGATATTCGAGTCCAGGATTACAAACATGATCAAAGGAATATTGAGGGATATTCTAAATAACTAAGAAGAGATTAGTGGACATAGCCCTCAGGAAGAGTTAACCGATCACACATGTTTCGGGCTTTCTGCCCTCATCAGTACGGTGAAAAGAAGTGATAGAGATAGACAACACTCGGAGAAAGACGAAACAACAAAATAACTGAGTCAACACACAGAAGCCAGCCACACGATTGCGGTTCCGGTCAAAAGACTCCGAGTTTTCAGGAAACAAACAAACAACAAGTCTCCACGAAGGTAGCACTTTTTTCTCGGTACTGATGAGGGCCGAAAGCCCGAAGCACGTGTCTGCGGTTAACTATTTATGGGGACTATATCCTCTATTTTCTTCTCAGTCGTTTGAAACAGTCTCCTCAATATTCCTTTGATCATATAATATGATATATCTATCAATTCAAACAATCTGATTCTTGGGATGTCAAAAAAACATACATTTCCACGAATTTTTATTAAATAAACAACAATGGTAGATGACGGGAGAAACACATTCACTCTCCTGGCTGAGACCATCGAGTTACATCCTCTTGGAATCTACGTATGAACGGATATTAATGCAAGTGTTTCTTTCCCCAATGCCGATCGATTTCGATTTCGCAAAGTTGACGCAATGACACCTACAGACTGGTTTCGAGCTCCTCGACTCTTATCAGTATAGGGTAGTCTCCAGCTAGCAGTCAGTAGACCGCCGGCTGAGCGTAACCTAGCCCAACAAACTCCAGTCGGCAATATTTATACTATTCATAGTCCCAGAGGAATCTCCCAGGAAAGTTGAATAGCTGATCAACCTTAAGGAAATCATAATGCAGATATCGTTGTACTTCTTGAGAGTTTGTATGTTTTTTCTTCAGTTATTTTCATTCAGTATTCATGACCTTTCTTGAAATAATTTATATCTGCACCTCATGCAAGTTGTAATCTAGCATTAGAAAGGAGTTGAGCATACATAATAATCTTCATTCAACCATCAACCTTCACGAATAGTGAAAAATGTTAGCTTCAACCAAATAATAAGGATGTGTTTCAGTTTATTGCTGATCTAAGCATTCAAATGCTGGAGGTGTTGTCGGATCGAACCCGCCTAAAAATGTGTTATTGACAGTTCTATTCGAAGTACCAGTTTCGCTCAATGCTATAGAATATAAAGCCTTAGCCTTGTTTGATATCATAGATTATTGATACTGGTGAATTAGTTTCGGTATTTAGGTATATCTAGACGAATATGATGTTCTCAATGATGTTCATATGTGCAAAACTGAAGTTGTAAATTCGAAATAATATTCAACAAATCATGTTTACATATCCAGAGTATTGTTGACTTGAGCTGAATGACTGTCTGTGACTGTGAATCATTTCTGATTTTCTACAGGAAATGATAGGTGGTTTTTAATCCAATAGTAAATACATATACATCATTCTAGTGGACCTGGAGCAAGTATATTCTCATCAACTATATCAGATCTTCATGTGAATGGGGAAGTTTCCTTCAGATGAATTTTCATGAAATAAGTTTAGAACTCATTAGTATTATGTTCATACTGTACAGAATGGCGATTAATGAAGTCCTAGTCGATTTTATTTTTAAAATAAAGCAGTTTCTAATTTTCGAGGCGGCAAACTGTGACGTATTTTCTGAATGTAGTCTGAATATATCAAACGATTAGGGTTATGTACGAAAGATGATACGAGTGTATGTAGCTGTCGAACGAAAAAAATAGAAGAAGAGGAAAACATAACCTCAAAAATTCTCTATTTTCATTATTATATTTTGTTGTTGGTTGATGTAAATACCGAATTTTCTTACTTGTGTTCAATATTCTGATTCTACTTTTGTGTGTCCATTGATTTTGTGTAAACCTTCCTGTAGTGATATCAGGGATATTTTCATCTGAAAATCATGAATGTTCTAACATATTTTGTGAAGGGTTCGTCCGACAACCTCCCACAAGTGGACTTCAATATGATTCATGAATTTTATATGAATAACATGGATTACTTGTTTGCTGAATCTCGAAACACGAAAAATTCGAGGTTTGTATCATTTTAATTATTCAAGTTAGTATTGACACATAGCCTATTTGATAATAATCATTATTCTCTTATAGAGCAACCAGATCTTCTTATGGTGATAATGCAATTGGATATGTCCAACTCAAAAGAGAGTCTCATAAATGTACAGTGAAAGCTCGAATAACACCAGAACATAGAGAACATGGCAAGATGTATGCTGTAAGTGTTGTGGTGGATGAAAATGAAAACAAAATTCTATCCAATTATTGTGAAGACTGTGCAGCATCTTAGGGTAACATAGTGATGAATACTTTTTCAATTGTGATTATTATTATTTCTATTCATAGGAGGGTGTAAACATGCCATCGCAATTCTATACTGGCTGCATAAAAGACATGAAGAACCCAGTGCCACCTCTACTGAATGTTATTGGAACAAACCGAAGCTTTCAAAAGTTGGCTCAACTTCAAAATGGATAAAAGCCATAGACCTTGGATCAACTCCCTTAAGTGTTGATGTTCCTAGTGAAAGTATTTCACATTTCTGGGAAGATATGGTTTCTACAGCTAAAGTTAAGAAATGCTCTGGACAAATTTTCAATTACTTCAGTTCGCCACCAGAATCCATGGTTTGTTTATCTTCGCACCATCTATCGGCCAATTTCATGAAAACAACTACTGGAGTATTGAATGCCTCTGATTTTTTGTTGTTTTGTGAAAATCAAATGGATAGAAATGTTTGTGAAAAGGCTGCCATAAACACATCCATCCAATCCAAGTCACCCTTGTGGTATGAACTATGGTATGGTAGGATAACAGCTTCCAAGATTTTATGAAGCATCCACTTGTTCCACATTCGATGGCTCTTTGATTGAAACATTATTTGGAGCATACAGTATTCCAGAAACTTCTGCAATTGCCAGAGGAAGGCTACTGGAGGATGGAGTTCTCAGAGTAGTTGAGAAAAAAATGGGGATACAATTGAAAAAAATTGAATTGGTGCTAGATCGAAGATACCCAGTTTTAGGAGCATCTCCTGATGCTATAAGTGATGACTATGTGGTTGAAGTCAAGTGCCCTAGTGAAAATGAAACAGTAAAAAATTATGTTGAGGAAAATGGACGTTTAACTCCGAAATGTTATGGACAGATTTTTTTACAGATGGTGATGTGTAGAAGAGACAAAGGTCTATTTTGTGTAGCTTCTCCAAATTTTGAATCTAATAATGAAGTTCAAATAATAGAGGTGGAGTTAAATGAAGTGTTCATAAATATTTTGATATCCGAAGCCATGGAATTCTGGATGATAGCTATATTTCCAAAATTAATAAAATGATGATGATCACTTTTTGCATTATTTAAATTTCCAACAATACCACATAAATAAATAAATCATTCCAAGATGACTACTGCATGCCTTATCACATGTACAGGGTGATTGTTCATTCATTATTATCGATTTTTTTGTATTTTTTTTTTGTTCCTATTATATAAAATATGCCTGTAGTGTCGAAAAATCAGATGGTTTGCCCCAAAATGTCACTGTTTAAAAATGTTACTATCGAAGATCGAATTTTTCTTTTAGGCTGATAGAAATCCTTTCAAATGCAGTGATATTTTGGGGCAAACCATCTAGTTTTCACTCAGTACATTGAAATAACACTTTTTTTTATTTCATAGAGACAAGGAGAGAAAATCTAAATAATGAATACACCACCTCCCTGATTAACCCACAGTCATTATTTGACAAATGTGATTGTTAATAGTTCACTAAATTTATGTGAAATATTTAGGTTAAAATGTTTTTTTTTCATCTCCTAATACTGAATTGTAAAACCAACATCAACTGAGATAGTTAGTGAGTAAAATATAAATTATCACCCTATATTTTATGTACCCAAAATAGCTAAATTTGATGTGATTCAACAAGTCATACATTTTTTCAACTCTGGGACAAGGTGAGAGAAAAGATAACTTCATTAATGTTGAATTTTTATTTATAAAAAAAGTTCAGACCTTCATTTCATATGGCAGTTCCGTCCTATTTCATAAAAATCACAGCTACATTCATTCAAATAACATATACGTTGAAAGTTAACAAAAAAATATATTCATTTGGAAAATAATGAACTATCCAAATTCACCAAACCACATACAATTATGACCATATCATCAGTTTTGGGTACCAGATGATGGTTAATACAGGAATGAGGTTTGAGGAATGCAAATTCTCTCAATCTCCTTATTACTCTTTCAATTAGAATTCTCAAGCCAGCAATACGTTTACTTTCCTTCACTTCTCCTGAATTAGATTTTGTGTCCTTGGAAACACTAGGAGGTCTTATTAATATACAGTTTTTTTGTCTCAATAGACCATCTATTTGTTTGAAGCCTCTATCAGCCATTACATGACATCCATTTGGTAGGCAATTTAAAAAATCACTTTGTTGAACAATTTTCTTGTCAGTAATTCGTCCACCAAATCCATTGGAAATGTAATTGATTGGGCCATCAGGTAATGAAGAAATTGAATATTTAAGTGTATTGCATTTTTTGTATTCGGACCATGTAAGTGACTGATGAACTGGATTAGATGGCTTTTCAATTTGAATTTCGAAACAATCAATAATTGACTGCACTTCTCCATAACGTTTACTGAATGGGATTGGCAGATTGAGCTTTATTCGTTCAGATGATGGTCAAATGATCATCGATCTGAAATACTTTGCTAGTATTGGCAAATTTTTCTATATTTTTTTTGGAAATCGTACTTACTGATAATTCAAAATCAATTGCAAGTCTGTAATATGGATCATTCAATCTTATTTTCTTTAGAATTAACATTATGTTGATTGCTGAAATTTTGGGATGTTTTTTCAACATACCAATTAAATAAAAAGTGTCCTCTGGCAAGCCTAAATAAAATGTTGAGTGCTTTTGGCGAATTTGAATAGTTTGTTGAAGTCTCACATTTTTTCCTAATAGATTCTCTTCATTTCCATCAGGAAAGGAGGCTCCAACTGAACTGTTTGTTGTAGAACTCAGTGTAGAACCTCTGAAGGATGGAGAAGACTCACTTATTGAAGATTCTATGACACTTATTTCTCTTCTCGTGCTCATAAAATGTCTGTATAGCCACTGCTTTGGGGGTATTTACCCCGATGCTTTTCAAAATATGTGTCACTTGTACAGCCTTACCTTTCCTGGAAGGATGGCCAATCTGAATATCATCATCAGATTCCATTTCCAATATGGAACGATTTTGATTTTCTTCGATGATTTTGCTATGGAACTCATAGGAACCATTGCAGGTACCTCGAAATCCAATAGTTGACACACATTCCTCTTGGAAGAATATCTCTGTAGGTTGGTCAATTTTCTCTTCTTGGCAGAATCACTCAACTGCGAAAATTCCTTCTTTACGTCAGGATTACTAGTGATATATTTGTGGGGCACTACATCTTGTTTCATAACAATTTTGGATCTCATCAGTTTGAAGGCTGGCCAGTTTACACGATCAGTATTCATCTAAAATAGTGAAAAAATCAATTAACAATGGATTTTTCGAATATAAAAGTAACTTACATCAAAATGGTCCTTACAACAATAATATCCAGCAACACTCTTTGGTACATATGGTCTTCCAACTGCTTGGAACCAGTTAAAACTTTGTTGTGGCTTGTAGAGCACATTGATGAAAACCTTTGAAGAATTTTCGGAGGTGTTTTCACAAGCAGGAACAAAGCAACGTTTCGTTTTTTTGAAAGACTCCATCATATTTGTAATCTGGAAAGAGTGGGACTTCATAGTTTCGATAATCAACCAAGAATTGGATAATGCTTACCCGAGTGCTTACCTTTGGAAGTAGGTACTTGAAAATATCACTATATCGACAAATGTATCAATCTGTTTTGATGTTTACTGGAATGAAAGCTAGTCACAATCCACGATCAATCATGAAAAATAACGATGATCATTCAACGAAATAACTAACTGGAGAGATAATAATAATGAATACTGAAGAACAAAACAAAAATCGACACAGGTGAAATTCGTAAACAAAAACATACATGAACACAAAATTTGGGTGAAGCAGTGTCTGTCAAGTGTCAATAGTGTGAATATTTTGTGTGGTGTGGACGGGCACGAATGGCTCAAAGTAATATGCGCTGTTGCTAGATATAATCTGGAACTTTCTTTGAGAATAGATCCGTTTTATTCAGGGATGAATTTATTTGCAAAAAGATGACTGACAGGTTATGATTGTCATTTTGTAATATGAAAAAAATTTAAAATTATAGATACCATTACAAAATATCATAATCAATCTCCATTAGTTATCATCTCCATCAAGCAAAGGAGAAATTTATAAAAATTACTCATGATTCTGACGAAGTAGGATTGAGAAACCTATTATATACCATTGATGTTATGATTATAGTCATAATATATCCAAAGAACAATTTCTGGAAATCCAAACATATTGGAAAAGCCGGCAACGTTGTAATGACGCAGGTAATCGTATTTTATCTCTGTGTGTATATGGCTGTTCACATGGTACGTCATAGAAATGGTGGAGGAGCCAAGTTCCTTTCTTATTTATTTTTTTCTGAAGTGAAATTTGATTTCACTGAAAAATGAAAAAATACATAATATATTAAATTTTTACGAACTTCACAAAAAGATAAACATCTCAATATTGGAAACTTTCCCATTGTGGCGCCTTCGTAATGGGTGATATAGCCGATGAGTTGAGTTCTCCCAATTGTCAGTAGATCGAGAGCGGCTGATAAGTCCTGGTGGTCCGAAAAAGTACTGTCTCCCTCTTGTTATCAATGGGAGTAATTCTATTAATCTCATTTAGTTCTTCATATTCCATTGTTCCACATTTCTTTGACGAAAACATAGGATATTACTGCAATAATATGAACAAGTACCTATCTATTCTCCGCTCCCACTCTCTATTACATTTTCCAAAATTGATTCATACAGAAAACAAATAATATTATGTTCTCGTTTGAAATATTCGATTTTGAAATGAAATATTTTCAGATATATTATGATCATGAAAAAGAAAGGTATATACAGGGTGTTTAAAAATTTAGTATTATGATTTCAGTGACTTTTTTCATGTCGAAATAAAACTTTTTCCTGTAAGTATGTGCCCGCAAACACTTTGTTTCGATATACAGAGCGTTAAAGGTTCAAGATTTCATTATTTTACAAAGAGTCAAGGATTCATCGGTTCCTCATTCTTTATGTAATGACATTTCAATCAAGAACCCAAAAGTTATAAACTTTATTAGGCCGATATGTAGCAAATAACGAATGAGGTTGTATATTGTTTTCCGAGTCGTTGCCGAGGATTGAAACAATCGAATCCGTTACTTGCGTATCGGCCATTGTCGTTCAAGACTTTCCGTAATCCTGCTGAAAGATTACGTTTTGATTCCAAGGAGAGAGAGAACAAACCACGTACCTCGTAATCAAACAATAAACTCCACATCAACTTTCCAATAGTCATCTGAATACCAATAAATCAAAATATCAGTATTGGATCGGGAAAAGTTCTTTTGTTTTTCAAAAAATCGATATTGGGCAGTGGAAAGTGGGAGCGGAGTAGTTGCAGTATATTTTCAGTTGGTATATTCATCAATTTATGTTAGGCTCATTTACTTTCATGAGAATTACATTCTGTTTGTTTATCTTAATTCATTTTTATGAGTTTTTTAGATAGAGGTTTGACCTCAACCAGAAACGGGTTGAAGACTTTGTCCGATCTTGTCTTACCAATACGGGCCAATACAAGATTCAGTAGTTTTTTTGAAATTCCATCTGCCAGAATATTATGATAGTTACATCGGGATAACCTACACTCAAGTATATGATGGAAGAGTTTTTCTGTAATGAGTTTTATTGGTTTTATATTTCGAGGAACAAATTTGATGATTTCTGATGTGGCCTCAACTAGTATACTTATGAAGTTCACGAATTCTCTGATAGGGTACTGAAGATTGCCTTGGTCTTGAATACTTATAAGCCTTAATATGGGTGAATTCCCCCTAGGTTGTTATATTATACTCAAACATGTTTCACAATCGACCTTCTCCATGATTGTTCTCAAAATATAGCTAGCTTACATAGCTATGAAAGCTGATGTGATTCCGAAAATTGCGATGTTCATATCATTTTTCATTTGATCTATTACGTTAATTATTTCATTTGTTAACACAAAAAGTGGAGCATTATCAGATGAATGATCATCTATAGCAGGTCTAATACAAGGAATACCACTCGATAAATTTGCGCCATCTGTTGACTTCATGATGCCACATTTAATGATGCGTCTGAGAGTATAATGCGCACAGATCGGGCATCAGTGGGATCTTGGAAACCTCCACCTTTCCTGAGTTGACTAAGAATACCTCCTATTGAATAAGAATTGAATCGTCGGGTGAGCACATAAAAGAATCCATGATTCAATAAATAATTAATTGTCTTCACTGTACTCTCTGCTGTCAATGTTTTTTGAAAGTTCCCGAATATTCAGTATGTACTCTGAAAACAGTATGTCTAGCCATACGAGTCTATCACTGATATCTGAAAATGAAGCAGATAATTCATCACTATGACCTGTGCTGTGTTTAGCAATTATACATACATTTCATATAGTCAATAGTTGCTTCACTTCTGCTGAAATCTTCATTACAATTGTGATAAGTCAAGTACTGGATAGTAGAAGTAACCTCAAGTGAAAATAATTGAACAGCTCTCCTCACATTCATTTTTTTCTATGTAAGTTGGCATAACATGATTTCTGGTCAAGTGTGCAACAGGTTTTATGTGAAGATTCTTTTGCATATTATAAAACTTCTTCACATAGTGAGCAGATATAATTTCTGTTTCATTTTCATTTTTAATCAGGTGACAATAGTCAAAACTCAAAACTCATCAGGTATAACCGGATGTGCAACTTCGCTCAACAAAGAACCTTCACCAAATCGTTCAAATAAGTCTACATTAGGTTGTCACTAACGATTCTTAAGATTGTAAAACCACATTCATGAATTTGGTGAATGATCTTTGTAGTAGGATCGTGAAATGTATCGGTAGTTAGTTTTTGGTGTAAGAAGTATCCCGCAGGAATTGTTATTTTTGTGGATAAACCATACATTACAAAACACAACAGCTGATTTGCTAGGATTGGTCTATCACCAATTGGTTTATCAGCTATTGTGTCTAGTCCAAAGAACATATCTTCTCTTTCACCGTATGTCAGTTTTTTTTGGATATGCATATCATCTATTATCAAGGAACATATTTTTTTCGAGATTTGTTAGACCCTGTGCCTCAACAATCAATCGCTTCTTCATCAATTCTGATATCCAATTTCTTCATCAACATTACCCATATATGTTTGGAGAGTCGATCGCGATGGCAGTTCTAAAAAATAATCAGGGAACCAATAGCCTTTTGGAGATTTTGCTCTCCAACGAACACAATTCCTAATGGTCATTTCAGACCAAACAAATTTCTTTTTCACAAAATTATTTATTTGGTCTATCAGGAACATTGCGAAAGAGTCTCGTTCAGAGCAACGTTTCTCAATGTTAGTTATTTTTCTGGTCTTCTCTGCAGCCTCTTTCAATTCAAGAATTTCGTCTTGGTATTCTTGTACTTGCCGATTTTTCTTGTCTAATTAGTCCAGTCGAAACAAGGTTTGACCTCCGAAAAAATCCGAAAGTTTTGAAACTTTGCACATTGATTTATAGGTACCTAGGGATGAATATACCAAAAGTCCTCATGAATATGATGCGAGCTCTAGCGGCAATTAGCGGAAACAGGGCACTTTTTTGGTTTTTCGTTAATATCTCGAGAACCGTTGGTCGGAGGTGAAGGTTCATCATATACATAATTGAAGCTTATTAAATTCGCGACAAAAATGATAATCTACACTTTTCTTGTACTCCTGATGGTTACCGAGTTATAGGGCGCTAAAGAAAGGTTTTTTTATAAATCACGCTGGCGCTGGTACAATATGGCATTTCTAATAAATTTTGACAATAGTTTACCAATTTCTCTGAGGATTGGGGAAATAAACTTCACAGCTTTATTTGAAAAGAGGGACATGAATTATATTAATACGTGGAATACAAGAACAAACAATGCTGAGGATATTCCAATTAAAATTGTGTGCAGATAAATCTATCAACTCTTCATAGTAGAAGGCCCTGCAATCTGCTCATCTTGGTCAGCTTTCGAACTTGCTGGCTGAAAAGAAGTAACTATGCATGAGATGATGATGTGAGAGAACCATTATTCAAATAAGAATATGTAAATAGAAGGACTTAGGTGAGCGAGCAGTAAAACAACGTATGAACATGACGACAGATTTATGTATACTATATTGCAAGGTGAATGTATAACAAAAAAAACAAATATGCAATCTCACCTGACTTCTGGTTAAGCGTCCAGCAAACACAGTGTTTTGATCTTCATGTACCAAATGTTCAGTGTTTGTTTCTAGCACTGAATGCTCTGTTTCTTCAAGATATATTATATCAGGATCATCAGAGTCATCTAGGTCTTCTTCGATTGTAGAAGTAACACCATTTAAGCATTCGCCATGGCAGTTGTGACAAATGCTTGTACAACTTATTCCTGACTTTCGACAGCCACATCTGTTCCCACATCCACTTGTACATCTGCAACAAATGAGGTTGAGGACAGCTTCAGGTGCTACTGGATCCTCTGTTGTCACAGGGATCAGCCGATCGCTTTCCAACTTCCAACCCCACTGTGCAGGAGGTAGTTCATTCCCAAGCCAAAATTGAATTTGATGGTAAACTCGAAATGCGTGCTGCCTTGCTGCTCCCTCTGTGGGCGGCAGAACAGAAAGGTCGGGTTTAGCATTGGATACAGATTTGGTGAAAGCATTGTAGCGGTGCATGTTAAGAGACGTTTGCTTCTTGGGCGCATTGTACAATGCCAAGAATATTTTGTTTCCAGCAGCAGCTACAGCCTCACGGGATGAAATTGGGCTGTTAAATATATCAGCAATACCTTGCAGTACAGCTTGCTTCTTGAACAATTTGAAACAGGAAAGTTTCCCTTTTCGATAAGCAGCCGAAGTCGTATCGCATCCGCTGAACGCATGCACAAGAAGTATGCAGTTCTTCATTCCCAAAGTTTGCAATTGCTGGCTTGAATATACTTTCCTTCCTACTTTGCCATGGCTCGGTTTCACAAATAATATGTTTTGTTCAGTCGGGGTTAAGGCCATGAGAAGAATAATAAGATCTACATCTTCACCGACTATTGCTACTTTGTCACAAGTGAAGGATTTCACGAGTGCTGTTCGGACGATCAATGTATCAGCATCACTGGATGCTTGTTCTGTTTCAACACCATGGCTGTTAAGAGTAGTAATGAGGAATGAAATCAGTCTAGATTTATTCTTTTTATTAGAAAGAAAATCATCCTGTTTGACTGTTACTACTGTGTTGTCGCCAAAGTTTACGTCAACTGACCTCTTTGTTTTGTACCTTCGGCTCTGTTCGGCACTCTTTGTACTGGATGAGGCGGCTGAATAACCATCAAACACCACCGTGCAGCTTTTGCCACCATAATGCTTGATAACATAGGCTACATAACACTGGCAGATGGTTGAGATTGTTGGAGAATCTTTGGGCCACACCACCTTGTGTAATAGTAAGCCTCCATCCAAGACAATGTCAAAATAGACTAGGTTTATTTCTTCTTTTAATGGAGTAAAGGCATCGTACAAGGTAGATTTCTTGGCCTTTCGCATTCCTGCCTCCTCAAATAAAGGCAATGGGTACGGGGCAAGTTCATGCTGTAAGTAGAACTTCAAATCCTCATCCCTCTGCTTGTTGATGGCAATCCTCTGAAAGATTGTGAAAAGGTTGATCACCACACTTTCACCATGAACTCGGATTGAATTTGACATGGTTGCCAAAGGGAATGCTCGGTCTTCAAGTGACAGCTTAACTTCCGAAAAAGGTTTTTCTACTGTTTTGGTCATTGCTATAATACCGATTTCAAAAGCATTATAGCATTTCACTTTGTTATCTCCCACCAGACCACTCGTGATTGAAACTATGTCATCAGTTACAGGAAACGGAGGATAACTTTCAAACCAACGTAAAAGTTTGGCAGTATCGGCTGCATCTCTCGCTTTACGGGTCTCTCCAAAATCTTCATGCTGTTCACTAGCAGAGAACAAAATCCCCGTGAACTCCTCAAGAGATGTACAAATGCCATGGGTAGCAGTCATTCCCAGTACCCATTTAGCTAAAACACTGTTTGTGATGCCACGCCCTCGTGTCAAGCCACCTACGCTTTTCATGCTACGCATGAGTGTCATTTCTATGGTCATATCCGACCATACCCCAGTCCAGAATTTATCAGTTCTTCGGACAGTAAAATAACTAAGGTTTACAAATTGTTGGAATTCTTGTGGGGTCATAACAGAGGGTAACTTCATCATGTCTTGCACGTAGATGTGACTTGCTTTGGCATAATGGAAATGCCCACTTGCGTGGAAATATGGAATCATATTTCTCATATACTGAATAACTGGACCCAAAGGGTTGCTGTTGGTCCATTTTCCTTCAGCTTAGTCAATTGGGTTTGTAATTTCTCTGTCAGACTCAATAATTGAACGTTTTGTTGCAGCTCACACAATGATGGAGACTCGTCCAACATGTTTTCTGTGAAGTGTTTGATAACTTCCAGCTCTTCTTGGTTCACATCAATATGCTCCAATATCATGTTTGCTAATGCTCTATGAATCAACAATAAAGCCCGTACGGCTCTTGCAAATGCTTTCCCTTGTAACATTTTTTCTACAGAAATAGGGGCGTAAATGGTGCACATCAAGTCCTGAAGTCCGCTTCCATTCATAAGATACCCGATACATCCAATGTACGACATCAAAAGGTGAAAACCACCCAATCTGACTATACATTTGGACAGCAAGGAGTCAGGTCCAGCTGCTGCCACAATTTCTCTGGCTTTCATGTATAGCGGCTGGTCAAATGTCACAATCGTGTGTTTCTGATTAGCTTTTTCGCACAAGCTGCCAGCATACTGCAATGCAGTGTGAATAGTGTTTTCATCAGATGGAGGAGAGTTGATGAATGGAATAGGAATAACTTCGGTTTTTTTACTGCCAAGTCCTTTTGTTATGGAGTGCATAAAACCTTTCCATTCGGGAACACACTTAATGTTGAGCCATTTTGCTGCCAACCAAAGAGTATCGAATGCAGTTAGCTGATCAGTTTTCTTGACTATATTTGTCAGATCCTCCACGATCACATTACGCAATCCACCTTGTGATTTTTGGTAGGTTCGTAAAGGAATCACTCCAAGTTCCCCTACTGTCTCAGCAGGTGGTACCTTGGTGAGCCTCGGTATAGGTTTTTCATGTTCACTTCCAGTTGTGCTTTCAGAAGGTACACTTTTGATGCCACCCATAGAATGGAATGTGTTGAGACCGTCCAGTGTTCTAACATTGAAGTCCGCGTTGTCAAACACAAATTGTAAAAAAGAAGTATCAGTATCAGGTTGAATGTGATTAATTGCTGACATTTCTAGCTGCTGTGCGCTGTGATATGAAGCACTGAACCCTAAACTTGATAAAAGGTTTACCAACTTCTTGCTTGCAAACCTCCTGTACACAAACAAAGCAACACTGTTCATTATTGAAGATACAAAAGAGGTTGGTCGTATCGCAGAAATAATACTGTGAGCAATAGAAATGCACTTTCTTTGTTTATTTACATTATCTGCTTTTTTCATGATCAATGTCTCTAGAAAAACTCGTAGAGTTGGGGGCACACATGAAGCTGCTTCTTTCAGAAAGTTGTTGCCCGGAGGGTAGACGGTTGTATCATACACATTTTTCTGAACATCCTGCCTTATTATTTTTGCTGCTGCTTGTACGATTCTTACTCGCTCATCACTTTCATCTGCTTTTTTATCATCATACCATGATTTCAAAATTTTGAATCCAACATCATTGAAACAAATAGTTGCATCCCTCCATCCAACTCCCACAGCAATTATAATTCTGTCTGCATATTTGTCTCTAAGTTTGCTTTTAATGGTATCATTAGAAGGAACAACCCCAGATACTGCAGAACGTAATTGTTCAAAGGAAAGTTGGCATTCCTCACTATTCTCAATCAGGAAGTAAATCTCTTCCATAGCCTTTACGATGTAATCTGTATCAGGGAGTCCACGTTTTCTACCCTCTTCTGGAGGCTTGTGGGACACAAATTGTTGGTAGCAGTCCAGGTGGTATCGCTAATGCCAGACAGACGCAACCTAACTTCTTGTGCCTTTACATCATTTCTTTTGTCTGCAGCATTCAATACAGTCGTAATCATCTCCCTACTTCTACAATAGAATGCATCTCTGCGGACATTGATAGGTTTCTTTAATTCTTTTTCGAAATACTCTTCATCTATAACATTTGCACAGAAGAAACATATTGTTTTGAATTCAAATAATGTTTTCACAGGCGACCTTGTTTGGGGCAAAGAGCTACCGTGTGCTGATGGAGAAGGGTTTGTAGACTGCTGTTTCAGAAAAGCCTTTATAGAATCAGGCCGTGTGTACCGCTTTCGGCACTCAGTGTGTAATCTAATTGTCTCAATACCACTAAGCTCGGTACTCAAATTATCTCTTCTTCGCTCACTAGCTAAAAGTAAAGAACTGATTCCCTTCAAACCAACTGTCGTTACACCAGAAGGTGAACCAAGAATTTTGTCGCACAACAAACAGTTTTCTTCCATTTTATCCCTCACTTATGTACACTCGTCATACGTCTACTATGCAAAACACGAAAGAAACGAATGACCGTACATCAATCCCACTCATGCAACGACGCGGATAGCAGAGCGTCTTCTCCAAACAAGTCTGCACAGGTTGGAGCTTGGAACTTAACGTCGGAATCGCTGCGGCTCGGACTCATGTCGATCACAGTGGATCAGTGGAGCGAAGGGCGGGAACCTACACAAACCGAATTAACCGTTGTATGTTTTTTAAGAATATTGCCCGATCATAACACTGTGTATGCTGGACGCCTAACCAGAAGTCAGGTGAGATTGCATATTTGTTTTTTTTTTGTTATACATAAATCGGTCGTCATGTTCATGCGTTGTTTCACTGCTCGCTTACCTACTTTCTTCTATCTACATGTTCTTATTTAAATAATGGTTCTCTCACATCATCATCCCATGCATAGTTGCTTCTTTTCAGCCAGCAATTTCGAAAGCTGACCAAGATGAGCAGATTACAGGGCCTTCTACTATAAAGAGTTGATAGATTTTTCTGCACACAATTTTCCTTGGAATATCCTCAGCATTTTTTTGTTCTTGTATTTCACTTGTTAATATACATCATGTCTCTCTTTTTGAACAAACTGTGAAGTTTATCTCCCCAATCCTCAGAGAAATTGGTAAACCATTGTCAAAATTTATTAGAAATGCCATATTGTACCAGCGCCAGCGTAAATTTATAAAACACGCTTTCTTTAGCGCCCTATAACTCGGTAACCATCAGGATTAAAAGAAAAGTGTAGATCATCATTTTTGTTGCGAATTTAATAAGCTTCAATTATGTATATGATGAACCTTCACCTCCGACCAACGGTTCTCGAGATATTAACGAAAAATCAAAAAAGTGCCCTGTTTCCGCTAATTGCCGCTAGAGCTCGCATCATATTCATGAGGACTTTTGGTATATTCATCCCTAGGTACCTATAAATCAATGTGCAAAGTTTCAAAACTTTCGGATTTTTTCGAAGGTTGGATCATTTTTTGAGGTTTTTTGGCTGGACTATAATGCATTTCTTGAATATTTTCCAGTGCTCGAAGCCTTTCGATAGTAATCGTCAAGGACTGACACTGGAAAAATTCAGATGGGGATTGATCACGGTCAGGAAGTAACTGGATGGTTTATTCAGGATGAAGCCAAAATGGAGCAGATACAGGAATCTAGAATACAATAAAAACGTTATGATAATTTTCATTCAAAAATATAAATAGTTGAAAATGATAAAAAGATAACAGAAATAGTTATTTGTTGTGAATAACTTTTTTTGACGACTTTTCCATAGGTTTTTCATGAATGAGAGTAACATATCTACTGCAAAACAACAAACTGTTGTTATTGAAAAGTTTCATCTAGAACAGGATTCATACAATTTATAATGATATACAGGGTGTTATTTGAGTACGTGGCCAAACTTGAAGGGGTGATTCTTGGGGTGATTCTAAGACGAAAAGTTCATATAAACATAGGTCCGGTAATGCTTCGTTTTGAAGATACAGGGTGTCAAAATTTTTAAAAGAAATCGTGTTTTTCGTAAATATCTTAATAACCCTTCAACCGATTTTATTGAAATTTGGCAGTGTTATTCAAGGTCGTGAAGGGCTAATTTAACCTTAACTATATCAAAAATATTAGTAAGACCCCAGTTTTTGATGCTTTGGTAGTTGAAATGTTTTATTGTGTTGTCACAGGGATGTGCAATGAAGTGATTTTTATGTTTTTTCTCAAAAACAAAGCAAGATACGAAAAAAATTCTAGATATGAAAAAGTTGTGATTTAGTTGCTCAATGTGAAACAAATACAAAAATTGCAAAAAAATCAGTGGCGCACATTTTTTCTGTCAAAAATATTGGTTACAGTGCCTTCCGGGACGCCACTGGACATGATAATCTTGATATAGTTAGGGTTAAATTTCGGCCTCAGTAATTCTAAATGAGCCGATAGTGGCAGACAGCACCATTGGCAGGCCGAATAGGCCAACTGCCATAGAATGGAGGCTAGCTACAGAGATATCGAGGCCAAACAGAATTAGGTGGGCTATTGATAAATTTAAACCTTATAAATCCCCTGGAATAGATGGAATATACCCCATCCTGCTTCAAAAGGGGCAGGAAATACTAATTCCACATTTGTGTCGTATATTCAAGGCTTGTATAGCAATACGATATATACCCATAGTATGGCAGAAGGTGACAGTCACCTACCTTCCCAAAGTGGGAAAGGTGGTCGACAAAACGCCAAAATCATACCGCCCAATAAGTTTAATGTCGTTCCTGCTCAAAACGCTGGAAAGACTGATAGACAGATACATAAGAGACGAGGTATTACAAAGAAACCCGCTCAACGAACGCCAATATGCGTATCAGCCAGGCAAGTCAACTGACTTAGCACTGGATGATCTGAACAGGCTACTCGCAAAGTCGATAGAGGACAAAGAAATAGCTATAACAACATTCGTAGACATAGAAGGTGCTTTCAATAACGCATCAACAAATTCTATAATTAATGCCCTAGCAAGGAAAGGAGTACCGCTACTCCTGTGCCAGTGGATAAATGTCAATTTGAAAAATAGGGTTATCATATCCACAATTGGCGAGACAACTCTGACAGCTAGAGCAGATAGGGGATGCCCACAGGGAGGAGTATTATCGCCCCTACTATGGGCCATTCTAATGGACGAACTGATCAAAAGGCTAACATCCAAAGGGTATTATTGCTTAGGATATGCCGACGACCTGGCGGTTATCGCTAGAGGTAGATTCGCAAGTACGGTCTCGGAGCTCACACAAGTCGCTCTAAACATAATTGACAATTGGTGTAAAGAGGAGGAACTCACCGTGAACCCTCATAAAACCACTATAGTGAATTTCACGAAAAAGAGAGTACTGGAAGGATTAAAGTCACCAGTACTCAACGGGGTAGAAATTCCGTTCGCCCTAGAGGCAAAATACTTAGGAGTCATCTTTGACCATAAGTTAACATGGAATCAACACCTACAAAAAATTGTTCAAAAAAGTACAGTAGCCTTCAATCTGTGCAGACGAATGTGCGGGAAAAATTGGGGACTGCAACCAAAAATGACCACATGGCTCTATGCCAGCGTCATCAGGCCTATGATAGCATATGGGTCAGTAGTTTGGTGGCCAAAGACACAACAGGCTGGAGTGATTCGAAGGCTCAGTGCTATTCAAAGGCAAGCTTGCCTGAGTGCCACTGGTGCAATGAAAACCACTCCAACAGCCGCTTTAGAGGTCCTCTTGAACCTACCACCACTACAAATATATATTCAAGGCGAAGCCAGAGCAGTCGTGAGTAGATTGTCAAGGGGTCAAGCACCCATAAGCAACGCGCACGGTAAAGACTATAGAAAACTATATGAAGAGTTGGAAAGCGACCCCATCATGGGAATGCCAACGGATGGCATAATTCCAAAATATAGCTTTGAAAAAACTTTTAAAATAAGTATAACGGACAGAGAAGCATGGAAGGAAGGACCTCCTATCAATGCAGACATTGCTGTCTATACGGACGGCTCCATTGCGTGAAAGAATTGATAAGGCAAGAGTTTAAAGGCAAAACCATTGCAATCTATTCAGATAGCCAGGCGGCAATCAAAGCAGTCAACTCTATGCAAGTTAACTCAAAACTAGTATGGGACTGCTTAGAAACCCTAAATGCACTGGGCAGTCAGAACAGACTGACTCTAGCATGGGTACCAGCACATACAGGGTACGAGGGCAATGAAGAGGCAGACTCACTTGCCCGAGCAGGAGCAAACAAAGCTCTGAATGGCCCAGAACCCTTCTGTGGTGTTGCGAAAGCTATACAAAAGACTAGTATCAAATCATGGATGCAAACCAAATCTCAAGAATGGTGGAACAAATCGCCAGGAATGAGACAGGCAAAAGAGTTTATTAAAAAACCATCGCCAACATTCACAGAATATCTACTAAGCCAGAAACGAAGTTCAACTAGAATACTAGTGGGACTTCTCACAGGGCATTGTAGGCTCAACAAACACATGAGTACGATAGGTTTGACTGAAGAACTGCCGTGCAGGTTCTGTCAGGAAGAGGAGGAAACAGCAGTACACATACTTTGCCACTGTGAGGGCTTGTCAAGACTAAGGTTCCTTACGCTGGGTGAGGAAAAACCAGAAGCCCAGAGATACACAGGGGATCTGAAAGCTAGCCTATGGAGTCTCATAGAGAAGACGGGGCTAGCCGAAGAACTCTAATCGATTTTGAGGGCAGACAAAATAGATCTGAAAAGGTCGCGGTGTGGAGGCAGATAGCCCGAAGGCCCCATTCTAAATCTAATCTAATCTAGGGTTGAATTAGCCCTTTACGACCTTGAATAACACTGCCAAA